TGAGTGGGGTACCATCTCTCAGATCTTGGTGGTCCTGAAGCCCTTCCTCGAGGCCACCGAGACCCTCAGCACTGCTGATGCCCTCCTTAGCCAGGTGACTCCCCATAGTGAGGGAACTGGAGAACCAAATGGAGAAGTTCCAAGGGGATCAATATTCCTGGCTGGGGCAAGCCGCTGTCACCAGACATGCAGGCACTGGTGAGGTGGCTGAAGAAGGGCATCAGGAGACGGCTGGATCCCTTGCAGTCCAGTACAGTCCACATACTGGCAGGCATGTGCAACCAAAGGGTGAAGGGGAGCATGTGCACTGGCAGCACCAAAACCCTTGATCACTGGATGCAGGTGCTGGTCAACAGAGTCAAGGAGACAGAAGGGAAGAGGTGAGGGGATGTGGAAGAGGGGGATCCACTTTCCTGTGACAGCACTCCCAGCACCAGCATGTCTCCTCCACACCAGCCACTGCCAGTGCGGGCCAAGGGCATGGGTTCAATGCTGGGTTCCAAATGCACCAGACACCAGCCTTGGGCAGGTAGTGCCGAGGCTTCAGTGGCTACCTATCTCGCCAAGGATGTGGAGCTACTGGACTATAACCCCTTGGCCTACTGGGCAAGCTGCAGCCAGATGTAGCAGTATCTGGCCACGGTTGCCCGGCAACACCTGTCCTGTCCACCAACCAGTGTTCCAGGCAAGAGGGTGTTCAGCATTTGCTGGGGATGTTACAACACTCCTCTGCACCTGCTTGGATGCTGGTTTGGTGGAGCAGCTGGTGTTCCTGAAGGTGAACCTCCCCCTGCTGGGGTTCCCCAAGCTCCGCCTGCAGATGGACTGAGTGCCACCCTCCTCACTCTGTCTGCACCTATTTCCTTTTTTCATGTTTTAAAAAACAGTTAATGCCCTGCCCTCATCTGGAGGGGACACTCACTGCATCACCAGCCAGCAGGGGAAAAACATATCCCTACTGAGCTCTCTCCCATGTCAGAACAAACTTGGAGGTATGAGCTAGGGCTGTGGAGAAGGAGGCCCCAGGTCCTGGGCATGACCACTAAAACTACACCCTGCCAGAGTAGGGAAGCCTGGTGGGACTGCTGGCAGCACAGCAGCCCTGTAAATGCTAGGACCGATGATCCCCTGGTGAAAGGTGGGTAGGAAATGCCATACCCTCCAGCTAACAGGTGCACACACACAATCCTGGCTGGGGTTGGTAAAAGTGAAAAGTGGTTTGTAAACTGTTCCCTCTCAAGATCAGGCCTGGGAGACTGAAGGCAGAGTGTTTTTTTGGTGAGGAATGTGCCCCCATAGGTAGTTGGGTACTGTCATCTTTGATATATTCTGTTGTGCAGTTTATTGGGGTACTGCAGATTGTTGGCAGGTTGTGTTTTGAGCTGTAGGAAGTTGGCTTCAGTTCTGGTGAAGAGATTAGGTGCTTGTTTGAATTTTCAAACCACTTTTCAGAGCCGGGCCTATGGACTGCACTTCATCAGTTTCCTAGGTACAGAAACTCGTGAACTCAGTATAGATTAGATAGTGGAATTCTGACACGCACTACAACCTGCAGGACATTTTGACTCCCCAGGTACTTCTGCACTTTTACCTGCACTGCTACATCCTCCTCTCTCCCCCACCCTAGCCTGTCCCTCACCCCTTGACACCTCCATTTCCATTTTCACTGACTGACTTTCTTGCCTGCATTTCATGCCAGGCCAGCCTCTGGCTTCTTTACTATTCCTTCCATTCAGGACCAGCAGACACACAACTGCAGGTGCTTCCTCAGCTTGACAAAGGGTTTTTCCAACGCAAAAGCTTGCTAAAATACATTTTAGTACGGCAACTGTATAGTTAGAAAAAAAAAAAAAAGACACCGGATTGTCTTACCTGCTGTCATATAAAGTGGTGGACTGGGATGAGGCTGTAGGGGAGGAGGCAACCTAATTGGGGCACACTACTGTGTTGTGTAGAGGCCCCAGCACCAATGAGGGCGCACCTTCACACGTCACAAGTTTTGCTTGTCAGCAGCTTGAGGTGCAGTTTACCATAAACCCCTGTACCTATCTCCTTGAAACTTGGCAGAAACTGTGGCCTCAGCAGGGGCTACCATCCTGGCAAGTTTCATATGAAGCAGCCAAAAAAAAAATGACAAAGTTATAGGTATTTCATTGATTCCCCATTATACTCTATGGCCAAATCTCTGAAGTTCTCCAAAACGGTGCTGAATCTTCCAAAGCCAATTCGATTTAGAAAAGCAATCTGAATCAAATCGCTGGCCTCTGGATTCAGATTCAGATTCTGCCGATTCAATAGTTCTCTATTTGCATAAGCCTAGCAGTCACATGCCTCTTAGGCACTATGGAACCTCTGAAACTACCCCTCACAGTCCCACCCAAACCACCGGTATCTAACTCTAATCCAAAATAAACCCTCTGACTATAACACAAATCCTCAACTGGGTCTAAGCTCAAGCCCAAGCCCCAGCTGCTTGGCTGTATCGCTCAATTCCCCCTTACCATGAGTCCTATTCCCCTGCAAGCCAGCAGCATTTCTACTTGCTCTTCTCCCAAGGCAGTCCAGACATCAACCAGGAGTTTCTCTGCCTCTTCTGCCCTAGAGCTCTTCCATCAGCAACTCCTAGAGGCAGACTGACTACTCTGGCCAAAGCCCTGGGTGTATATGGCTAGAAGCCACACCCCATTTTTGTCATATGTCTCCCTGAGCTGCCCCAGGTGATTTCTGATTTAACTTGCCAGCTCAGCCCCGGGGAAACTTAGTGCTGCTGGCCTCTGCTATAATAATGGCTTGAAGTAGGTAAATCCCCAGGCACTTGTTCCCTGGCTGCTCATAATGGGCAGCTTTCCCCCATCTGGGGCTCTCTCTGCTGCTCCTTCACCCTTAAGTAACAGGAGCCTCTGGTTCTCTGTTATAGTTCAGAGATTGCCTATGGTAAAGACAATTTTCAGGAAAATTGATAACTTCAGGCCAGACTCTTCTTCAGGGGCTGGGGGAAAAGGGGTGGAAATCTATACATTTTATACAAGCCAGGGGTGAAAACCCTGGAGCTAGCAGTTTCCCCTGTTGCAGATGCAAAGTGTGGTGTCAGGCAGGTGGAACTAAGGCTTGCAGGAATGAGGAGTTGTCCTGGGGCAGTATGTTCCTTAAGAGAGACAGCAGAACAGTAGGGAGAAATTTGGGATTCTAGGGGCTCCCCAAGATCAAGGTTTGTGACACTAATGTAAAAGCAAAAGCATCCCAGGGAGAAAAAACAGAACCAAAGGAAATAATAATATTACAGTAGACAATTTAAATCCCAAGAAGAAAAGGTAGGAAATGTAACAGTGTTCTGCCAAGTACAGTGCAATTCAGAAAGTAAACCATTGAGAACAAGAGCAGCAGAAGGACAAAGATCAGAAGAAAGCATACAAGGGTTACAGTGTGTGGGGATGTTACGGGTGCCACTGGTGAGTGACCCTGCGGCTCCCATGCCTGGCTGGCTCCATTCTCTTCCCCCCCACCCCCTATACCTTGATGTTGAATAATTTGGGGAGGTTGTCTCACCTCAGGCAGGTGGGGTAGATTTAAAGCCAGGCATCATTGCCTTGTCTATATCTGCATTGCTGCCACTAAGTGGGCTCAGGTCTCCTTCCAGGGCCTCCCCCTTGCTGCCTGCAAGATTCCTCCCTGTCCTGGCCAACAGTCCTACTTGTGTCCTTTCTGGATCTCAAACCCAGAACTCTCAGCTTTGCAGGCCAATTCATTCCATGCAAGCTCTGTGGGCTCTCAGCCATCACTGCCCTGGCAGATCTCAGGCCTCAAAACAAGTGGTCTTGACTTGCTGAGTGTCAGTTATAGCCGAGACTCTTGTTTAAGTTTATAGATTTCATTGTTCATTGTTTTAGTTTATAGACTTCATAGAGCTGGAAGGGACCTTGCAAGATCATTAAGTCCAGCCCCCCTACCAGGCAGGAAGTCTGCTGGGATCACACCTTTTGCATGAGTCCAGAGTAGGTGCTTGCACCACCTCTCCAGGGGGAGTCTGTTCCAGACCCTGGGCACATGGACTGTAAAGAAGTTTTTTCTTATGTCCAGTCTAAATCGACCTTCCAGGAGTTTGTGGCCAATAGACCTTGTTATCCCTTGAGGATGCTTGGTAAACAACTGATGCACCCCCCTTACATACTTGTAGGCTGGCACCAAGCCCCCCCTGAGCCTTCTCTTCTCCAGGCTGTTCTCTGCTATAGTTCTCTGCTATGAAACCTCAACATCATGCCTTAAAGCTGCACCTGTTCCACCAATTGTTAACAACAGAGATTTTTTCTTTTAACAATAGTGGACCATCAAGACCATTAACAAGGACACAGGGTCATTAACACCTATGGAATGAGGAGAGATTAGGAGGAATCAGGTAAATCATAATGAGCCATGAAGTCAATTAACTCTCTCAGTGCTGCCTGAATAGAAATGACACTGCCTCTTCCAGGCAGTTGATTTTAAAAGAACAGGAATCAAAGGAAGGGGAGGAGGGGTTGTAAATGCACCACTGCATGCCCCCTCTCCCCCAGATCTGCCCCTGTTCCTGTATTTCCTGCTGGCTGGCAGTTATTTTAGTCTTTTAGTGACAGAAGGGATGTAACAGCAACATAAGCTTTCACTACATTGTCCCACAGCTTTTAATAGTAGGGACTGTTTCTGCAGGCTCACACCAGGCACTGGTATCTACTATGGATCAACCAGTAGCCATTTTGGTATGTGCTTTTGTGATATGAATATCAATTTAATGGGAAATGAATTACAACTACCAAACTTATTTCATGTAAACAAATGAACTAGATGTAATACTTTGCAATTGTCTAGGCTAGATTTGAACTGATAATTTAAAGATGAAATGATTAATAACTAATCCCTTGAACCATCCAGTGTCCCAAGCTGGCTAAATACTAAGGATGTCTATGATACAGAAAACACTGAACAAGGCCTTAGTTTTCTTTCAACCAATATTTTTTCATCCATACCTGTTTCTTCAGTAAAACTGTAATAATGAAAGCCATTTTGCAAGCGTAGAATGCAGAAAAACTATTTTCACAAGAAAAGGAGAAACTGGAGAATAAAAACACATTTCCAGAATTAGCAAAGGCAATGCAGAAAGCACTAGAGCAGGAAATTCGATACATACATTTCAATGTCACTCCAGTATTAACTGGAATACCTCTCTATAACTAACATCCAACATTAGATGGGAGACAAACACAAAGCCCTCCTTTCCCTCCAATATCCTGTCCCACACATAGCTGTGTGGCCGCTACTTGTCCCCAGGGATTGCCCATGCATACATGCTCTGGCACATGGCAAGTTGCCCTGGGTGGGGTATGGAAGGCTGGGGCCAGCACCTGGGCTGGCCGCAGTAGCCTTATCTGGGATCCTGGGAGTCTCCTGGGGCTCCAGTAGCAGCAATCCAGGTGTACAGAGCCTGGCTAGCAGTCAATCTCCCACTGTCAAAAAACCTGGTGCACTGCAAGTTAGCAACATGGAGAAAGCCTGCATGTGAGGTGTGTGTGGTTTGTGGTGCTGCAGACAGTTCTGCAGTGCCGCAAACTACATGTGCACACTTGTCTGGATGTGCCCATGGATAGCACTCAGGATCCTATTAACTAAGCTTCTATGGGTGGCAAGCTGAGAACTGAGCTTCTCAAATCTGAAGCTCATAAAAACATATTTGCAATCAACCATGGGAGATGACAAGCTGCCTTTGATGGCCATCCTGTCTATCAAGAATGCTGTAGCTCAAAATATAGAACTATCACAAGCAATATCAGTTTCTGGCAGCAAAGGCATGCAGAGTCATCTTCTGAGTCTTGGGATCTTGGTCAAGAAAGGTTTTTATTTGTTATTGTTACTGATTAGTTTAGTGTTTAATTTAATGTTTAACTTATTTGTCACTTAACCATAATGTTATTTTTTATGACTTATGTTCTTTATTATTTGAATAAAATAGAATTTAACTGAACTTTGTGTCATTTCCTTTCTCGCATTTTTTTTAGTAAATTATACAAAACTTTTGAGATTACAGCTTTATTTCTGAAGCAGGGGGAAGGGTGCCAAAATACAAGTTCACTCAGGGCACCACCTAAATCGGGCTCTGCATATAGGAATTCTAGAACCAGAGCTAGGAGGGTCTTTCTTCATGCAGTCCCATAGTCAGAGGCTAAAAGTCTACTCAGATTTCTTGGGACTGTTGTGTTTAGTCTAAAACCTCATGATAGGTCTTCAGTTACAGATCTGGCAGTTAGTCAGAACCCTGGCGGAAATTGCACTTAGGATGTGATTAATCCAGCTTTGTGTTCATACAATTAATGGCACAATAAAACAGGGAATAAACCACAAAATGATTACATGAAGTATGTCTAATGATTTTGTGGCTGATTCCCATCGCACCTTAAATGGAACAGGTGGCCAGTGCATGCCCGGGGCAGGGAATGCCAATCAGCTGATCGGCACTCCTAGCCTCAGGAGCGCATGGGAGCCTTGAAGAGCTCTGGTGTGCTGTGATGGGTTGTACCAGTGAGCTGGTTGGCACTCCCAGCCTCAGGAGCCTTGAAGGACTCTGGTGAGCTCCTGTGGCTGGGAGAGCTAGGCCTCTGATTGGTGCTCCCATAGCTGGGAGCACAGGTCTGCTGATTGGCACTCCTAGCCTAGGGAATGAACCAGAGCCTTTCAAAGCTGGGAGTGTCTGTCAGCAGACTGGTGCTCCCAGCTGCGGCAGCACACCAAAGCCTTTCAAGGTTGGAAGCACTGATCAGCTGACTGGCATTCCCACCAATGGGCACCCAGCTTGCTACTTGCTGGTGCTGGAGGAGCAGGATCATGATCCTAGGCTTCCCCTGCACTGACAATAAGGAGCAATTGGGATTTGATGTCTGATCCCACAATCATGCCTCCTTCCACACATGTGTGGTATACCAGGAGGTGCAACTGTTGGTATTGAGAATCAGATACCATTGTGCCTTTAAATGAATATGCATCAGAGGCCCCAGTAGAGTTGACAAGACTCAACAGCTTTCCTGCTTTCCGCACAGCAGTCACACTGTGGCAGTAGAGCATAACAGTATTCTTATTACAAGGCCAACATTTCAATAGGGAAAGACATCTTGCACATGGCAAGTACTCATACCTTTTTATAGATTGTTAGCTGTCTAGGCAGGGACCATCTTTCATTTTGTGTGTGCACATGTGCAAGGGATGCTGTATATAGACCCTAGCATAACTGGGCCCTGATTCAAACATGCAAGTATCAGCAAAATAGTAATGCATCACTAATAACAAGAGAGGACTAACAAAAAGCATGGAAAGCAGAGGATAAAGACAAGTTTTTGCTAATTTAGCCAATACAGCTGCATGTATGTCTTGAGCTTTACAGCAGGGAAGGCAGGAAAAGACATTGTAGCCTTTTATGATAATCAGTTATAAACAACTGGGTCTGACACTGGACCTTGAGGAGGAAAGCTAAAACACGGCTGATGGAGCTAAAAACTAAGAGGAACATGAACGTAAGCATGAAGGTTCAAAAATTTAATTTTAAAAAGATCAATAAATTCAATCGAAGAATAAAATTAAATTTCTGGAATCTAGGGGAGAAAAGCCATTTCCTAAAAGGAAAACAATATTCTGATCCATATTCATAGATCACATGACAGAAAATTTCTTTGAGAATTCACTGAAAGGTACAGTTTTGAAAGGGGTTCAAATTATTTGTGAATTTGAGTTAATTTCAGCTGTTGTCCAAAAAGGGGAAAAATTCAAAAATGTTAAATTTTTGTTTCTATATTTTCCAGCCAAAATATTTTGACATTTCATTTTCAAATGCTATTTTCATTTTACAACTGACCAAAATATGTTTAAAGATTTTTTTTTAAAGGGCATAAAATAATCAGAAAAGGAATGGACTATCTTGTTCTGGGTTGAACCCAACATTTGTGTGAACCTGAATCAAATTTATTTTTATTTTTGAGTTTCAGAAAGTCCATTATTCATACAGCAGTTATCCCCAGATATAGTAACAAGAACACATCCTATTAAATACATGTGTAGTTATTTAAACAAAATTTCTCATAGACCAGATCTGGAGCAGGTGCTTCTTGCAGGCCAGAAACAGGCCAGACGTGACAGGGTATGCACTTCTGTTTTATAGAGTAAAAGAAATGAGGTGTAGTAAAAAAAAAAGTATAGTATAAAAAAGTGTCAGTTTGTCGGTGCATCTGTTGGAGCCGCTGCGTTGGTGCAACGCTGTCACTGTTCACTCTTACCTCTGCCAATTTCATCTCTGCCAATTTGAGCCACCAGTGGTAATCAAAGACCCTAAATGCAGTAGCGGGCAAGGGCAAGCAGTGGCAGCATTCACCCCCTGGGTTCTGGAGCTAGGCCAGTGCAGTGGCTCCTGCAGACATGTTGATAAGCCTTATGGTCTGCAGTTTAAACCTTCAAAGGATGCACACAGCCTGAAGGCTGCAGTTGGCGAGCCCTGATTCAAATAAGATGTTCCCCATGATTATCTGAAATGGGATAAAAGCTCTTCAGGTATTTTACATCCGTTCTGGTAAAATAATGTTTGAATAAAAGCGAAAGTAGCTATGAATCAGGGCTCCATTGTGCTAGATTTCATGGACTAATATTTGAAGAAAATATGGCCCTTTTCCTAAAATCCAGAGGTGCAACTAGAAAGCTATCATAGATGGACATGGGGAAAGATGAGGTAATAGGGAAGGTGATGGCTAGTGTAGCAAGCAGTTGTCACAGAACATGATGTTGCTATTTAAACAAGGAAAAAAACCCTAGTTTTCCTAGGTAGAAGCCATTGCTCATGTACATTTTACAGTAAAAATAGGACAGCATTAAGCAGAGCTATTGCAAAGGCTGATGAAACCACAAACCAAGCAGAACCACCTGGCTTTAAGTTTTACTGCAAACACAAAATTAATCTGAATTTGCAAACTGCTCAGTAAACATGGTCCAAATGTTGAGCAAACCTAGGGCAATTCTTCATTTCACCAGGGCAACACTCATGATTATTATTTTGACAAGTAATACACATAGCAATTCTGCTTTGTGCCTGATTGCTAAACAGGTAGCATTTACTAGTATGCCTGTGCTTTCCCACTTGATTATAAGATTGGGGGGTGGGGGGAGATTACCACCAAGTCCTTCCAAGCTGAGCAGTGTTTCACCGACCAAAACTTTTTTCTTCAGTCTTTTTCTGAAGAAATAATTCATTCTTGGAACAGTAAGATTTCAATCCTGCAAAGAAGCAAACACTCTGACCTTAATTCTTTAGATCATTTAAATAAATGCTTAATTTTAAGCATGTGAATAGTTGCACTGATCTCAGCAGAGTTACTCACTTGCTTAACGTGATTTGATGCATTGCAGCCAAAATTGTGAGCCCCTAGCAGGATGCAGGTACTACATTATGCTAATGGTTTCTCAATTTATTGAATACCAATATCACTTTTAAAATCTGCATTACAGTCTACTTTCCAAAACACAGCTACAAATTAAATAGATAAAAAACTGGGTAACAGAACAATGACAAATCAATGAAACAAAAGGAGGTCAGAGAAAGCCAAAAAAATCTAGCTAAAGTTAATATTTATGCATATACTTATGTATTAAAAACAAAATTCCCTATTAATTTTGGATCTGGACTTTCATTCCTTGTGTACTCAAATCACCTGCTAGCTCTAAAGGAGAGTCTTGTGTATACAGGGTATGTGAAAATGGAATTAAATGATATTCTGCAGAGAACTGTGTATTTTCAAATGGAATAAATATAATATATAAAGCTTAAAAAGAAAAAATATGACAATTTAAATTTCTGCACAAGGCTCTTGTGGGTTGGGGTAGTACAGGTGCTAAGGTGTGCAGTTGACCACCCAAAGGTTGCACATTCAAGGCCACAGCAGGAGTACTCATGGTGTGGTCATGTCAGATACCAATAAATATGTGAATTCTGCTAAATACCTTGTCACAAGGATAGATAGGGATCTTTCAATTCATTTGTTCTTTTAACCTTTTTTTTTATTTGTTAGCAATTTGTATAAGTTCTTATGTCAGGATTATACAGTGCAAAGTGCATTGACAGTTAAATTAATAAAAATTACTTTATGGACTAAACAAGAATGTAACTCATACAGATTTATCATACTCCACAATTCTGGGGGCAAAGACCTTGCTATACAATCTTGCTCATGGGTGCAAAAAAAAAAAAATTAGGGGTGTGTGTGTGTGTGTGTGTGTGTGTGTGTGTGTGTGCGCGTGTGTGTGTGTAATTTAGTCCTTAAACCTGAAACTCAGGATCTAACAACTTCCTTCTTCCAACTCAACAAGCAGTTGACTCTGAAACCTAAAGATGACAATGTTAAACATCTAACAACTCCACTCTTAGTTTTAGCAGATGTATGTATTTATCCCTTGGCTAGGGTGCTTCACCTGATCAGGATTTTTTTTATTTTAAAAAAATTAATAAAATAACTCTTAGGAGCTCCTATTCATTTTCATATTTATTTTAAAATTTCAGTTCAAATATATGAAGTAGAGGGTCATACTCTGGCTGCAGGGGAGAGGACAAGAAGTATATTGCAACAAGGGAAATTTAGGTTTGCTATTAGGAAGAACTTTGTAACTATAAGGCAGTTAAGTGTTGGGACAGATTATCTAATTAGGCCGTGAAGTCTCCATCAATGGAAGTTTTAAAGAACAGATTAGACAAATATTTAGCTGGTAAGGTTTAAACAGAGAAGACAAGCAAGCGTTTGGACTAAATTATCTCTTGATCCCCTTTCTATCCTTGTTTTTCTACAATACTGTTAAATTTAAGATACTATGAATTTTAAAATTCAAAAAATGCTGCATTTAAAATTCAAATGTTTGTGTCTTTTAATAGTACAGCAGTATTCAGGGGTATTGCTAGAGAACCAAGATTCAATTAGTGTCTTAACACATGGAACCTCTGTTATGGTTTCTCTGATATATCAATAAGAAGGTAGGATGTGCTAATAAAGAATTGAAAACTAAATATTTTGGAAGATTTTGTGCTTCTTGGTTTTGTTTCTATATTCATATATATTAATTACACCAGGAAAGGAATATATAAATGAAATAAGTATCACTATGGTCTATTAACCATCATCAAACATGGGAGTCTCTCTTGGACAGATGTACTGTAATAAATTATATGATTTACCAGTCAAGTGATGCAAGAGTTTATTTTTAGGTTGATCTTTCAAAATGAAACCATATGCTGAATATGACTGACTAGAAAGTTAAGATGATTGTGTAAAATGAAGATAAGATTGTTTCTTTACTTACCACCGAGAGAGGGTTTTAGGGTTATTATTTGTGCAATATTCTGAACATGTAAAGTACTTTATAACTTCTAACTATTACAAAGAAAAATCAAACCTTCAGAAAGGTTTCTTTTTCATTAACAAAGTTAATTGTCAACTGGAGTTATGACTGGATGGGAATACTGGCACCAACTCTGAAAGGTGCCAGGTACTCATGACACCAACTCTACAGAAGTCTTTTTTACTTAAAAATGTAAAATGTATTAAAAGAGGCTGGAGGCCAATTACAATTTTAGAGAATACATTATCTAAGGAAAGAGGGGAGGTGGTGAGAGGAGAAAAAAATGAAATGAAGTTCACAACTCCACTTATATTGTAGCTTACAATTACGGGGAAGGGGAGAGGAGAGAAATCAAGCAATTTTTTGTTAATACTCAATTTTTCAGGCAAAATTTAAACATGAAGTGAAAACAGTCCACTCAAAGGAATGAGGAGGGCTGTAAAGAAGGAGCAAGGAAATGTTATCACGAGCGGCTACTAAGCAAGAGAAGCGCAGTATGGCGGGTGCATAGGTGACTGTCTGCACATGCATCCCACTGCTCCTCACAGTTCTCTGTGTGTGCCTGTGCAAGCGCGCACACACATACACACGCACACACCAGTTCCCTGCCCTCCTCTTCCCTGGCCATTTTCCACCCACACCCCAGTTCCTTTGACCTTCTCTGCTGGGAAGATTTGGTGCAATGCTTTGCTTTGCAAAATACATATCTGGGAGTGATGTTTTTTTCGTGTTTTTCTTGCTATTTTCCATAACTCAAAGCTCACCTCATGATGGCAGTCAGATTCCAGCGGTCTCCTCCTTCACAGAAACCTGAGGAGACCCTCCCTTTTTCAACATGGCCGCCACCTCCCATTGTTCTCAGAAGTCAGGTGCCCTCTCTCAAAATGGCCTCCGTTTCCCTTCACTTCCACTGAGTGAAGCCAGTTGCTGTCTTTAAAAGCACTCTGTGGCCTCACATTCCTTTTTGAGAAGACCAAATGCTCTTCTCCAAGTGGCCGCGCACCTGAGGAGCAAAACGGAATTCCATCTAACTGTCACGGCATGTTTATGACCGGGGCGCCGGTTCTCGAACTCTCCCACGGTGGCTCTGCTTGCTCCTGTGTGGTGCACAGGGTCAAAAGGGTGAGGGCCTGTATGTGCCTATGCCTTGTTTGGGATCCCCAGGGACAGTTGCATGGGGGACGGGAGGCTTCCGTGGCAGTTATGGGGACTAGAAGGGATGGCAGTGGGAGCACTGAGGCCTCTGAAGGGCCAAGGAAGGAAGCCCAAGGAAGATCAGCTTTAGGGCTGTGACTGGAGAGCCTGGAGAATCCAGGGAGACTCCAGTGCAGAGTCCCCCGTTAAAAACAATCTCACGGAGGCTGGTAAACCCTCATTGATGTGAGGCAGCTGAAGCGGTCTTACTAGTGAGACTCAGAGCTGACATGTCCAAGGGGGTGCATTCAGCCTTGACCCCGAGCACCACAGCAGCAGAGACTCTAAACAGGACACACAGAGCAGCAACAGCAAACCCAAGTGGCACCCTTTAAGCAGCAGTGGCATCCCAGAGTGGCAAGAGGGATGGGGCCTGAGCCACCCTGAGTGGCAGACGGTGGAGACCTGAGCCATGCTTGCCCAGGCACCAGTAGGCAGTGACAAAATCTTCTTCAGTGACCCTGGAAAAAGTTCCTCTTTCCTCCCTGGGTGGGGCAAGGTGGCAAGTCCCAGGATAGGGATTTTTACAGTTAAAACTGTGACTGAGTTTAGTGTTTGGAATTTGGGCTATTAGCTATTTTGCGGTTATAATAGTTGGGAGTTTTAATAGGGAGGATTAGACAAGGATTGATTATTCTTATTAATTAATTATCTTTAATAAACCAGTCTATTTGTTCAAATTGCTTGCATGCAGGGAAGCTGTTTTTTCAGTAGGTGAGGTTTTCCTAGGTGGCTGGATAAGGGCTTGAGCCAAACCCCCCAAATTTGACTCTGGCCCTTGTACAGCCACCAGGGCCTGGGAGAAGGGTTACATAAACAATGGGAAATAGTGGCCATTTTGAAAGAGGGCAGTCTTTACAAAATAGAAGCTTGGCTGAAAAAAAAATGCCTAATGATTAATTATTAATGAATAATAATAAAAAATATATATTATTAATCTGTATGTATATACACTCCACATGCACTCACCAATGCAGCCTTCAGTGAGAATTAAGACTAAGAATTTTGAAGCATTAGTTTAATTTTACAATTAACATAATTTGGAAGAACAGAAAGAACTGACACTAAGCACTAAAAGAACCATTCTGAACTAATGGTAACTCTACTTAACTAAATTATTGTCAATTCCCATCAAGTTCTTTTAATACTCTGAAAGTGCTGCTCTTTTAAGGAAGATTCATTTTACTATATAAAAAACAGATTCACCTACCTTGTTCAATGTTAAATCAACTATCCTTAATAAGGGAGCAGGGAGTGGTGCCTCCATTTTACATGTTCACTTAGGCACCCACACAAAAAAGTTAGGTGTATGTTTTAGTCTGTCTTCATTTTTATCTGTCTTTGCCCATCACCAGTACATGCATACAGCCAGTGTTTTCCAGTATACCCAACACAGTAAGCAAGGTAATTTATCCCCTCTCTTGGAGGGGTTCTCCACAGCTTCTTCCCAAACCACAAATTCCAATAAAACATTTTGGGCTCATCACTCCACTCCTGCATCTGACTGTACCTTGGCCTAACAATTAAATAAGTAGAGCCAACCTGAATTTCAAATCTATCCACTTTGTGTGTGCACCAATAAACACACTATATTAAACAAGTTTGAAAAACCAATCATTATTCTGTCACAAGTTTTAAAAGAATTTATTGTGGTTTCTCTGATTCATTCCCTAGGTTACATTCTTTCTTCAATTCTATCTTATATACAGCTGCTCTGATCCTTTCAGATAAGAAGGGATATAAACCTAAAGAATAAATAAAATATTTTAAAAGTTCAGTATTTAATTCAATAGCTGATTTTTAAAAACATTGTGATACAAAACCCCACATAAATTAGATAAAGACCTCTTCTTAATTCTAAATGGTTAAGCTTCATTAAACAGGTCCATAATCATGGACTGGCTGGCAAAAGCAGCACTTGTTTATAGAAAGACCCTATTATGATTCCTAAACCTAATTTAAAAAAAAAATCAGCAATGGAGATTTAAATTTAGTCAGTACTTTGTTAAGTTCCTTCCTCCATTCAGATTTAAATTTTATCTTTAGAAAACAACTCAGTCAGTGAGAAAATGGACAGTGAATTCATAAATTAGTGATTTTTTACTTCTGTACAATTCCTCAATCACTTTTTTCACTCTATTACCCATGTATTTGGAACATAAACTTCCAAATGTATGCAATAGCTGATATATACTTGTTGGGCCAAATGCATCTTCAATAGAATAATACAGACAGGGCACATCTACATGAGATGCGACATAGCGTTGGCGGCACTACTGCACAATAGGGTTTTAACTGACCTGTTGCTACTGCAGAGGAGAGTTGAAAATGACCTGTGTGCAGCTGAGACTGTGCAGTACCAGCAGGTATTGCACAGTCAGAGCCACATATAGACACGCACACGTGTTCTTATCTATTACCCAGCATAAATGATTTTGCATTGTTGTAACATAACCAACTCTTTGAAACTGCCCCTGAGATGAATCATAATTGGCAACACCTAGCAGCGAGAGGGGAAAAGAACATTACCATAACTAAATGAAACAGAAACAATTTAAACAGCCAAAATTTAATTTCTGTAGTTGGAATTTGTCTAGAACACAGAACTTAAAGCATGTAAGTACTGAGTTCCCACTAAAAAGTCCTTTTAATGCTTGGTGCATAAAACAAAAACAAGCTTTTACTCAATGTAGTAACTAAAAGTTAAATGAAATCACGTGATTTTTGACTAGCTTCATGTTTAAGTTGCTAAAAAGATTTCAGTAATCTTATACGTCTGTGAGGATCCGGGATTATTCATGAAGCAGCGTCATTCATACACCTGCCATTTACTTTTAGCATCACCATCTCATAGGTCAAACCCTTTCACACCCTTTTTAAACAATGAGCTGGGACTAGACCAAACAATATTGCATAAAAAAATCAAGATTATTTATCATTCAGAGAACTCACACTGCCAGCAGGAAGCTCTGTACAGGAAGTAGAATTCCATGTGTCAAATGAATGCAATAAAGCCACAATAGCAAGTCCGTAAATGACACTTTGGGCCCAGTCTTACAGTCCTTGAATTGCTAGATGAAGGAAAGATGGCTTGCCAAGGTAAAGACTACAGTACGCGGTCTGAGAAAGTATGTATTCAAAGACATTCAGACTAGTTTAACAATAGCTTTACAATTCAAAAACATATTTAATTGAGTTTGAGCAAGAAATAAGAAATGCATAATAAAAATTAATTTTTGGCTCAATATTACAGTGTATTATGCTTCTGTGATATGGGCTCGGCTTCAATAAAAACATCATATCTCAATAAAATGTTTTATTGACATTCATTTAATTAAAATGTTCCAATTTATATTAGAATTTTTTTTTTTTTTAATCCTAAAATTCAGGGTATTGCTTAACCAAGAACAACCCTTTCAACTTTAGTAAGGGACATAATTAACTGTGTTAGCTGGAAGTCAGGCAGAAGGCAGAGCAGGGTGGCATCTTAAGAAATGTACATTCATTACCTTTAGATCACCCTAACCAGTGTTAAGTCAACCTACATGCCCAGTTGTACAGGCATGCAGAGGGTTTAAATCACCCTCCAAAATAGCACACAAGTTCACCTGAGTAGGTGCACTATATATATAGAATAAAGAGTTAACCCAATCTTCAGAAGGCTTCTATGTGTTTGGAGAGCACTCTTGGGGCTGGGAAAACCCAGGCAATTGGCTCTGGCCCCAAGACTACACCAACTGCCCCGCTTCCCCGCCCCCTGACCCTGACATTCCCTCCCAATTGAGCATCCCCTTTCCCCCTGCAGACCCACACCCTCACTTCCCTGTGGATCTGCTACCCCTACTCTGATCCTGCCCACCCACCCTCCTGCTGACCCACCAGCCCCTCCCATGGACCTGCTAGACCCCCCCACCTTCCTCCAATCCTGAGTTACTTGCATTGAGTTCCCATGTGGCTCCCAGGAACAATGAATTCTTGTTGCACGTGTTGTTCATGGCAGTAGCAAACTCCTGCATGTACCCACTGCCACTGTAGTGCTTATTTTCAGCCACCTACACCTAGACCAGGTGCAATGAACACTTGTTTGCACCCTGAGGGGATAACTGGTTCAAAGAGGCATAAGCTTTCCTAGGTGACTGCCTACTTCATCAGATGCTGTTACCTAAAGCTTATGTGTCTCTAATGCAGTTAGTCTAAGATGCCACACTGCCTTGCTTTTTGCCAAACTCTAATAAGCAAATACACTTACATATTTCAACCTACAAACAATTCACCATACTAAAACAAATACTTTTCTCTTGCTCCTGTTTTGAATTCAAAACAGTTTTTGTTATTGTCTGTATTTTGTTCCACATTATGAACTTGGTCTCCATGACTAATAGTTGCAACCTCCCCTTCCCCCTTCTCCCCCTCCCCCTCCCCTGAGATTTTAGATTCCAGCTGTTAAGTAAGAGGAGAAAATAATAGTATTGTGGATTGAGACATTCTCTCTTTAAAGGAAAAAAGAAAAGCATTCTCACTGATTTCCATGCAGTGCTGGATGTCTCCAGGATGCAGGAGCAGATAGAAATTGCCCTGGAACAAATCTCACTTCAACTGCATTCCACTACAGCTTTACTGTAGGCATAGCTATCCTCTTTCATTAAACATCATTGTCATCAGCTAAGCCAATGAGGATGGATGTGTTCAGTGGAAATCTACACAGGAGCTTCCAAAGAAAGTTCAAAATGTCACTGAAAAAATGTTTTAAAAAACATTCACTAGTTCTTTGTGAATGCATATTGTGCCTAAATGGTCAAAAAAGGCACTCCTTGTATACCCCAATGTCCCTCTGCAATGAAGGGGTGTGTGTTCTTTTTATAGTTTTCAATTTCTTTTATGATGAAAACCTCTTGCAAGCCACATATAGGTCAGAAGCAGGCAACTGGGAATGAATAGATTAGACACAGGATGCAGATCCTGGTCTTCTGTGTGCTATCATATATTTATGCTCAAGCCAGCATTCTAGTTACCTAATAGGCAGATACTTGCTTGCTGTACTGTATAAAAAATGTACAAAGAGATTAAAGGATTTTATTTAATTTCTCATAAGTAGGGCAAGGAGATTTCTCCCCCCCCAAAAAAATGCAGTTTTGAAGGGATTTAAACTATTTGCAACTTTTATTTAAATATGGCAAATAGTTTTGGCCAAAAGAGTAAAAATATTCTGTGGCAGGGCACCTTTGGGTGCCTGGTGCAGCAGAACACCTTTGGGTGCCTGCTACTTTAAGGGCAGAGGCAGGCAGCTACCAGGTGCCTGATGAGGGCAGCCATTTTGAACAAGGCATATAAATGCTGCAGTTCCCTATGGCCAGGGGAGGCAGAAACATTGTTTAGCTGAGTTGCAGCAGGAACAGCCTTGGAGGTAAAGGCAGGAGTTTATGGGGACAGTTTGGAGGCTCCTGGTCCTGGGTATGACCTAAAACTACCCTGCTGTGGAAGGGTGGCCTGGTGGGGCTCCTAGTGGTGTGGGAGTCCCCAGGAAATGCCAGCCCAGTGACCTCCCCGGTGAAAGGTGAGGAGGGGCACCTTCACCCCAGCCCCCATCCTCAGGTCAGTTTTGGAGGCAGCTGGGGAAGGTAGCGGGGGTCAGCAAGGATACAAGGCCCCGGAGATCCCAGAGGCGGGTAGTATGGAAAACATTGGGAGGCCCCACACAGAGTAGGGCTCAAGTGCAAGTAGGCCTGAAAGGCTGTGAATATGAGGGGGCTGAGTAGGGCTGAAGTTGGAGTAGGCCTGAAGGACAGCCCAAGGGGCATGATGAGTAGGGTCGAATGAGAGTAAACTTGAAGGACAGTGCAAGGGCCAGCCCCATGAGAAATTGTGCCCAGTGAGGGGCTTGGGGCAGAACTAGCCCAGGGTTTGGCGTAAGGCCGGACCATGTAGAGTAGGGGAACTTGCGGGAACCAAAGGTTCTGCGTGGCAAGGCCAGTATGAGAGTAACGAAGCCTGATAGCCCAAGAGGGGCTGCTCAAGGAGGAGCAGGGCAGTGGAGTGTGGCCCGGTAATGGGCAGTATGCCAGAGGCCCCGGTGAGAGAGGGGCGGAGTGGAAGAACGTCCATCTGTCTGTGTCCCAACTTTGGACTCGGTTTGCTCTGGTATCAGGCTGGGAGTAATATTAATCTGGATGCCATCTGCAAGGCATGGGCTGCAATGTATGGGTGGTCAGAGTCACAGATGGCACCCCCTGGAATTGGGGCAGTTAAGGGCATTCTCCTGCATGTACCATCCATATATGGAAACAACAGTCATGGCAGGTGGGATTGGGTGGATTGCCTCGTAGAGACAGGTGGGCGGGCTGACATGAGACCCGGTCGTGAGAGTTGCCACCTGTCACATATTCCAAAGTCACAATATTTCATTGTCATCCCTTTGAAGGTAATGTTCACATTTTTCACTTACAATTACCCAAAAATCAATCAGAAGAGTTACAAGATAGTTTTAACTCTAAAACAGTTAAAAATAGAAGCAAATCAAATGTGTACTCGGTCTTCCTTTAACAGTGTTAAAGCTCAACAGCAGCACATGCTGCCCTCCACTGAGTATCATAAAAGACTCCAGCATTCCAGACTTCCTTATGTAAATTCTTCCCAAAAGTTTTGCACCATGTATACATATATTTAAATCACTGATATATTTCTAAAGACCTTTCTTGTTTTCTGTGACCTATCTTGGAATTTCACAGTAAGTCATGTGGTGGAACTTTAAGGAGGTGGTTACATGGGTGTTGATAGCTTTACACTTCTGTATCACATTATACTTCTATGTAACACACTATATTTTAGATATTTATATAATAATAAATTAGATTTCAAATGTACATTTATGGGAATGTGGGGATGAATTTTTCTCAATTAGTGGTAGCATGGTCTAGATAATCACACAGTATAAGGCGCCAATAAATCCTGTATTTTGGATCCAGCTTCTTATAATTGGTGTATAGCAAATCTATTACACCTCAATTTTTATACTTTTGAGTTTAAAGTTTGGCACCCAAACTTATACAGACACCTCAGAAAAAGACCTGATCTACATATCTGCAATGGCCAATAAAAACATACCTCATTGGCCTAAAATGATTTTAAGGGTGATAAGCATTGCTGTAGTTGTTTTGTCTGAAGTTGGTTTCTTATGTCTATACTAGTGAATGGCCCATCAAGAATGAGGAATGGGGGGCCAAGTGCCACCACCCACCACCCCGTGCCACCGCTGCCTCTCAGAAGCAGGGAGAGGAAGCTTGCCCCTCCATCCCCATCTGCCAGCACCCCGCACTGCTGCCACTTCCAGCGCCACTGGCCTAGCCCCACCCTCCCCTCCCCTCCTGGCCCTGCTCCTTGGAGGCAGTGGAGCACTGCCATGATGGCAGAGACAGAGCAGGGGGCTGGGAGGAGAGGGGGGCCAGGCCAGCGCTGCTGTCCTCTCCCCCGCCGCTGTGTCCCCTCTGTCCCCACGTCATGGCGGTGCTCCGCACCCTGATTGATTGTTTCACTAATCAATTGCAGTGCTCCAAGAGCATTACAGATGGGCTATGCCCTTTTATTATATAAGAATTTTCTTTTTAAAAGATTAATTATCATTCACTATTTGTATTAATGTAGCACATGAGAACCCAGTCATACCAGGATACCTTTGAGCTAGGACTCTACAAGCAGACAACAAAAGCAAAAAAAAGTGGACCTTCTGCCAAAGAGCTTACGACCCAAAACAAGGAGCAAATGGATACAAAGAAGAGAGTGCAATGACTGCTGGTCAGAATGCCAGGTAATAGACACAGCACATCATTAGCCTGGTTGTTAGGTTTTTGTAGGCATTATGACAGGAGAGTTTTAAAAAAGGATTTGAATGATGACAATGAGAGAGCTTTGCAGACATTTATGGGGACTTTCTCCCAAGCATGAGATGAGAGAAACATGATAGTGCTTGTCTGAACATCTAATACTGGCTGAAGGAGGCTGGTAACATGGACTGACAGGAGGTGGAAATCAACAGCTTGGTAGGCTATCAGAACTGAAAGGTAGGAAGAGAATAGTCTGTGAAAGACCTAGATAGTAAATACAAAAATGTTATGCTTGATATGATACGTTACAGAGCACCAATGGAGGAAGGCAAAGAAGGATAAACATGCTCAAAGTGATGGGCTAGGAAAGTGATCTTTGCAACTGCCTTCTAAAGACATGTAAGAGAAGTAACATTTCAACATTCTTCCTCTGCCCTTGACAATCACAGTACTCAAGACACAAAGTAATCAAAGACTGGATCAGATTTTAACTCTGTGGATGGATAGGAAAGTGCATCTCTTAGATTATGCAGGAAGAATCCACAGGACATAGGCAGACACATATATTGTCTACAAGGACTTAGAATGAAGTCAGGGTTGAAGATGATGTCCAGGTTATGAGCCTGAGGCTAGGGACAGACATTCAAAAAGCCGGACCCTGAATTGATTCAATCTTTGCAGATTAGTCTAACCTGCCTAGATTGAACTGGTTTGTAACAGGACAGACATGCCCTCTGGACTGAAGAAATACAGGCAAATGCCTGCAGTTGCTCAGGCCATGCGCCGGGAGGTGCTAGAATGCATCCTCAGCTTCAGGGAAGCTGTGGTGGCCTGGGGTGTGGCCAGTCTGGGCTGACCTGGCCAGAGAGGAGTTTAATTCTCCCACTAGCAGGGATGCAAGCCAGGTCTTCTGGGTGCTCCCTCTTTACTGCAGGGCCCCTGAGGCAGAAGTGGGCAGGGAGGAAGGTTCATTTCCTTTCTACCCCACTGGCAGTCAGGTCAGCCTGCCATCACCACTGCGCTCACTCCCTGCGGTGGAGTAAGCTCCCAGCTGTCCCCTCCGCTGGATGCCAGAGGGAGGGGGAATAACCCCTATCCCTGACCGCCCTCCTCGCCACCCCCTGCAAGGGGCCCTGTTGCACAGTGTCTGGCTGTGCCTCCCCCCCACTCCCTGCCCTCCCCAGGAGCCCTGCCAGCAGCATCTGGCTGTGCCCCAACCCAGCCACTGGAGTGGTGCAGGGGGAGTGAACATGATGGAGGCAGGAGCCCTCACCATGGTTTTCCCCAAGCGTGAGCTTCTTCCCAGTATGCTGCTACCTTGCAGGGTGAGGAAAGCTGCTGCAGCGGCACTGTGGGAGGGTTGGGGGCAAGAGGAATGGAATTCAGGACATCAGTGTGTTTGTAACATGCTGGAGTCTGGGACAACTGATGTCTAGACACCCTTTTACTTTCTATCGAGGCACAGTCTACAATACATGTATATCCAGCACAGCTACAATTGATCTGAGCCAGAAACAAATGCCTAACTCCTGTCATTTCAAAACTTGTAGTTAGCCAGAATAATTTTAGACAACTTAACTTTCTCCTTTATTATGCCTTTATGGCCAGTAGCCAGAGCAGTCTGTATCTTTAAAGAGCAGAAAAGTTGAGTTATGAGGAAGGGCCCAAAATATACTTACAAGAAATCAGATCCTGGTGCACTGTCCTAGGTGATGGGGTCTGACAATAGCCAGGTACAGGATATAGAAGCAAACTCTCTGGTTTTGCGTATATGCAGAAATGTAGCAAGACATCAGCAGCTGCTACTGGGCCAATTGTGACAGTGTGTTTTGCCACTGTTATGATAATGGGTGCTTTCATGCCCCGCCCCCCCCACCCATGGGGCTGCTGCCCTGGACACCCCTGCAGCTATGTTGTGCATTCATTTTGTGCAGTCCCCAAGCACATGGAACCTCCTGAAAGCTTACTAGTGTCACCCTCCAAACTGTCCTTCCTACAACTCCTGTTTCAACCTGCTGGTAATTGTTAGGTCCAGGACTTCTAGTTGTACCATTTCCTGAGTCTCAGCCATCTGAACCTTCTCTAGTTGCCCAAGACCTTCTTAGGTAAAACAACCATGCCATGTGCTTTAGCTCCCTCTCTTCTGGGATTTGGAGAAGATGCAATGTATTCCTTCTTGGTGTGGCTCCACTTAAAGTAACAACCTCATACAACTAAGGGGTTACACTACTGTTGTTTGTGCCCATTGCTTCCCAGATATGGACAGTGTCATTCTTAAGAGACTGTGGCAGTTCTCAGGGTAAAAATAATATGTATATATATTTTGGTTTTATCTGATGCTAAATAAATCTGCAAGTTCCCAATGATTCTGGCATCAGTTTCCAACTCTAACAATACTGATTATCTTGTTCCCAATTTTTTGTTTGTGGACCTGTATTCAACTTTAATTTTAATCAATGTCTCATTTACTTACAGGGTGATAACTTATTAATCTTCTGATGCAACATTGTCCATGGCTCCACTTTTTACAAAGAATCTGTACGAGCTCGTGGTGCTGGGCATTTTCTTGGCTTGGTGTTCTTTCACACAGCATTTGTTGCTCCTTGGCTGTTTTTGTGAACCGTGCTCGAGTTCTGCATGCCTTTCTGCTTCAAGACTTTTCTTGTAGAACTTGGATTTCTATCATGTCCAGTGTCAGATCAACAGTACTCCATAAACTTCAGTCTGGACTGGCTGACTTCCTTTGTAAATTCCAGTTGCTTTATTAATGGTTATTCTGGGGGTTTGCAATCATATTTGATTATGATCCAGATGGGCAGCTTTTGGTTTTAGCTCCCCAGAACTACAAGGTGAATTATCTAAGGTTAAATCTCCCAAAACCTTTATGTTATCATCTTCTCTTTGTAGCCTGGTTAAAATTACATCTTTCATATTATTCACTTTTGTGTAATACTGTGCTACAGTCAGCCTCTCCTGCCCAAGTTAACTGGAAAATAATAATAATAAAAAAATCAAGTGTTTCAGAACTAGCTATGGTCAGAAATAAGGCTGTTGTCAGTTTTCATTTCTGTTGGTACTTGCTGCTTGCAGATGCACAATGAATTCCTGATTAAATCTCTTCCAGTTGTCTGGCTTATTTCCAGAGTTTCAGTGCTAGTGGGGGCTAATAACTGCTCCATTCTTTCACTTAGGGTATTTTTTATTAATTTTATTCCTGCTACCATGTATGGGTTTATAATTATTTTGGATGAAAATATCCAGCAGAGGCCTGCTTCATTCAGTGCCACAGTTCTAACACATCACCATTATGTAACGTGAATCTTTACGTAAAAGAGCCAGTTCCAAGTAGGTCATGCCAGAGCCTCTTAAAAAGTATAGTTCCTTAGAGGAGAAATTGCCTGCATTTGGCCAGCTCCCCCAGTGAAGCTAGCCATCCTAAAAGGGGGGAGAAGCAAGTGAGCCACATGTGGTAATAGCCACAATGTTTCCTCTGCAGCAGCCAGAAAGGTAAGCTATACAGCCAGGGGATACTAGAGGATGGCTCCCTGGGTCACTGCCACCTTCAGAGGAGCACCTTACTTGATAGCTTGTTCTCAGACCCCTGTCTGGGAAGGGAGGAGAAGTTGTCAATATACAAGCCCCCTGGCTGCTGGGGGTGGGGAAAGCAGGGCCAAAGAGAGTCTCCCCAGTCCTGATTCTTGGCTTGGAGCTATTAAGTTGCTGCATGTGCCACCTAGCTGGGTAATACAGGTGACAGTTATAGCCCATGGACTGGGAACTGGGGTGGGGAGAGCTTCCCTGACTCTGGTTCCTGGCCCTGCAGAAATTCTGCCTACCCAGATACCTGGCCATGTGAGCTTTAAATAACACCCATGCTGCCCAGCTGAGCAGTGCAGGTGGCATTCAAAACTGCAGAGCTGAGAATCAACATGGGGAGAGCTGCCCAGACTCCATTCCTAGCCCCACAGGCTTTGAAATGTTTGGGTGTACTGCCCAACTGGATTTCAGTCAGGGATGGGGGCAGGAACCAGGCTTGGGGAGAACTTTCCCAAGCACACATCCCTGTGGCTCCAGCTTCCCTTTACTGCTGTTCTGCCAGCTGCCAGTCCCTGGTGTGAGGAACAGCTTTGGCAGCTGAGCCAGTCCCTCCTGGTGTCACAATGGAAGATCTTTCTCCCCGAGGGGGCATATTTCACCCTGGAGAAATTGAATGAACACCTGTATGCTCACAGTTTCTACTAGGAGAATGGCAATTCTGGTAGAAACACAATGCCTGTACATGGCTGTTGTGCTTTCTTTAACGATGATGTAGCTGCCACTACAGTATGTACTCCCTAGAAACATCATCACACATTCTAGTGGATTTACCCAGAATTCCTCTTGGATGCTCCAGCTACAAACCACAATTTATTAAAGAGGGTCTCAGAAATTCCCTGATGTGACAATTTTCACTAGAGAACGCAGATTTGCAGAGTCTGTTCAATGTCAACGAAGATCCTGCAGAAAACTGTCACAGAGCTCCAACCAGCTCACCTGTCCAGCAGCCTGACAGACTCTAGGAGCACAGATGTCACACAATCACAGAGAAGTCTGTCTGGAAAGGAGTGCCAGACATCATCTAGTCTAACCCCTGCCTGAGGCAGGATCATCCCTATACAAACCATCTAAACTCTACATAAGACTACCTTTCAGTCTGAAGAAAAAAAATCCACTGGAAATTACTGAAACATCTTAAGTTTTCTTAAGTGTCAGGTTTTCCAAGGCAGGTTTAAAAAAATGTCACTTTTATTTTCATTCATGGAAATTAAACACATTTTGAAATTCCCAATTGTTCAGCACCCTGGAACTGCCATTTTCTGCACCTGCTGCCAGCTTAATTCTCAGTAGTTTTCTATATTAATCATTAGGCCTGTGCGAATCGGCAGCGATCCGATCCGGCTTCGGATCCAGCCGCTTCGGATGGCAGCAATCCAATCCGCAGCTCTGGGCCTGATTCCCGCCTCGATCCAGCCGAAGCGGCTCCGAAGCTTTGGAGCCGCCTCAGAGATCCGACCATAGGGTACAATGGGGAATCAATGAAATATCTATAACTTTGTTGTTTCTTGTCCAATTTGGATGAAACTTGCAGAGATGGTAGCCTCTAATGCAAGCATGAAACCTGCCAAGCTTCAAGAATATAGATGCAGGGGTTTGGGGGAAACTGTACCCCAAATTCTTGAAAGTCAAACTCATGTCACAGCTGTGTGTCACACCACAGGGGGTGAAAACGGCAGGGCTAGTAGCTCTTACTGAGACCACGAAGCCTGCCAAGTTTCAAGGAGATAGGTGCTGGGGTTTGGGAGGGGGGGGAAAGTGCATCTCAAGCTGTGGACAAGCAAAACTCGTGCCATGGGTGACACTGCGTGTGTTAAGGCGCAGCGGGGTGACAGGTGCAGCAATGGTGCCCCTGCTGAGGCTGTGAAGCCTGCCAGCTGTGGAGGAGATCGGTGCAGGGGGGTTCTGGGGCCCTGCATCCCTAGCCGCTGACAGACAAAACTCCTGCCAGGACTGTCTCTGTCTTGGGGCAGTTGCTTGTCTGTATTCATTCTTTCCTCTCCTTAGCCTGGCTTTGTAGGTGCTAATTGCTGCTCGTTAAGTCGTTATGTAGTAGCTAGGTCCTGTGTATTGAGCTGGTCCCTGAGTCCCTGGTTCCTGAGTGAATCATGATTGATTGATTGGTAACTGGTAACACAGCAGCTTAGCAGCCAGGCCTGCCGTAGTGTCTCGCTCCCGGCTCGAAGACAGAGAAAGTCAGTCTCACAAGCACCCATAACGCGAGTTTTGCTTGTCTGCAGCTTGAGGGGCAGTTCCCCCCCAAACCTCTGCACCGATCTTCTTGAAACTTGACAAGCTTTGTGGACTCAGTAAGAGCTACCACTCCGACAGTTTTGACCCCTCTGTGTTGTAACGCCTAGATGTGACAGGAGTTTTGCTTTCAAAAATTTGGGGTGCTGTTACCCCCAAACCCCTGCACCACTCTTCTTGAAACTTGGCAGGCTTCATCCTCTCTGGAGAGTCTACCACCCCTGAAAATTTCGTCCAAATCGGACAAAAAACAACGACGTTATAGATATTTTATTGTTTCCCCATTATACCCTATGGCCAGATCTCCAAACCGCTTCGGGAAGCCTAACGAGGCCAGTGCTTCGACCCGGCTGTGCTGCTTTGGACCCCACAGTGTCCGAAGCTTCTCCAGATCTGAAGTGCCGCAGAGCCCTATTAATCATTTCCCAACCAACATGTGTGCTTTGCTTTAGACATGTATAAAAACTAAGAATTTACAGAAATATGGACTCACACTGTCAATGGTAGCACAAACAGTCCATTAGCATCACATTTTAATCCTTAAAATGTCCTATACTATTTAGTCCAGTCAATGGCCCTAGAAAATGAAATACTCTATTTGACACAACGTGCACACACAGCAAGGAGTTTGACAGCACCCCCCGCCCCTCCAATCCAAAAAGACAGAAGAGCAGGATGACCCACCTTCCACGGTCTATTCCATTCTTGTCTCCCTGGCAATGTCCACAAAGCAATAGATATAGCAACATTTTTTTTAAAGTTGATACTATGTTATTGATTGAACCCATTACCTCATTTTACAGAGACCACTGAAGATGCTTATACTTTTTAGTCGTGACTTGAACTTCTGACCTAAGACCCAGCATCAACTTTGCCCATATTGGTCACCACCCTTCTTTAAAATATTTTACAATACTGCATTTGATTGCTATCTTACATAATTTTTATCAAGCTCTGTTTAACTTAGTGCAAATAACCAGACAGGGTGATGTCAAATAACCCAAGATGCAAGCTTTAAACAACATTCCATAAAACCCGGGGCCGACAAAGATTACATAAAAAATTCTGGTAAAAGTTATTGAACAAGCATTCCCCTGTGTCCCAGATACTGCAGTGATATCTTAATGCATGAAGAAAAAACTACTCAAAATTGAAGTTTACTAGTCTATTTGTACTGCTTGAGCTTAGAAATACAAGAATTTAAGAAGCAATACAAATGATAAAAATACATATTTAAATATCCTGGCAGTTTTGATCATTTTCAGGTGCTGTTTAGTAACACAGGTAGAGACTTAAATCCAGACTTTTAATCAGAAAGGACATTTCAAAATTGTATCAATATCACAATAAGCTTAGTAGTTAATTACAAATAATATTTTATTGGTAGATTTTCTATAGCATGTATCTGAACTTTGTTTATTATATTACAAACAATGGTTTTAGCCTCAACATCCCTGTGAGGTAAGGAAAACTTATCCTTTACCATACAAAGAACTTTGGCATAAAGTTTCAGTATTTTGCTATGATCACAAAGAGTTGATGAAATAAACATAAATACATAAAAATAAATATATAAAACCTAAACTTGGGCTCCAGTATATTTATTTTACCTTCCTTGTTAAGGAAAGGCAGCCTCCCACCTGCAGTTCATATAGAAAAGTTTAAAACATCCAGAAGAGATGTTATTGTCAGAGCATCTTATTTAACAGTTGACAAAGGTCAGAATGTACCACATCCCACAAAACTAAGAAAGCTTATTCAGTAAGTTAAAGACAAATGAATAAACTTTATTTCATGATGATCATAAAACTGTTTTTTAACTTCCAGTATTTAAAGCTTTCAAATAGTGTAGTTATGAAGGGAAAGCAGGACAATTCAGCATGAACCT